GGCAAGCATGAGAAGGAACGGCAGGGGCCAGGTAAAAGGGTAGGCTGGATCCACAGAGCAAAAGGTCAAGGGAGAGCTAGGTCTGCAGTCCCAGGCCTGGGAGCACAGGGGGCCTGCAGGTAAGGCAATAGGGAGGGCAAGGAATCGGCCAAAGGCCAAAGTTATGGAGATGGAGACCTGGGCACTGAGGTCCCCTTTTTCAGACAGGACCCCATTTATATGCCTTCTGTAGGGGCAGAGCTAATAGTAATAGCAATAATAATGACTAATATTTATTGAACTCTTACTATGTTTACCACGCAGAGTATGCTCCTTGTAGGAGGAGTTGACCCATGCTAAGGACTGTAATTGTCTGAGGTTGGAAGTCAGAGAAGTGAGGGTGTGATGGCCGGAATATTATCAGTGGAGAACGAGGAATGGCTCAATTCTCTGTCGATGCTTCCTCCTCCCATGGGATTTGATTGTGCATAATAACACACAGCGCAAAGTGTACAATAGCGCACAAGCAATAATTGCAGAATGGCAATCAAAATACCACTTTATCATAATTCCCAATTGCCCCCAAGGGAATACTCCTGGTGATGCTGGATTGGAGTCTATGGTTCAGACTGATGACCAAACAGACCTTCTAGTCTACCACAAAAACCTCCTCCTCCCCCCATAAAAAGTAATAATAATACATAAAATCACTAGATTAGCAAATTAAGAATGTCTGTAGGGTGAGAAAGGATGCATGCAGGGAGGTTTGTCCTCTAGAGAGCACCTGACCTAACTGACCAAGCCAGTAGTGTCCTGGATGATACTGATCAGAAGGGAGATGGCTTCATAGACACCATCAAAGAAGGGTGGCCTCTAAGCAGCTCTTCCTTGGAGGACAAGGTGTCTTTTGAGCAAGGAGCAAGACACAGGTGAATAGGCAGAAGCATGAAGACATGGGAGGGAAACCCTCCACCCCCTACAGCAATAATAATAATAATAATAATAATAATAATAATAATAATAATAAAATAAATGTTTACATGCTATCATTTCCAGAATGCATTTAAATGCACTGTTTAATCTTCATAACAATCATGTTAGGTAGCTGTTATTAGCCTTGGAATAAGCAAATTGCTTAAGTAACCTACCCAAGACCATAAGCCTAGTAAAGAGCAGAGACAGAGCTCAATATAAAGGGGTTAAAGTCCACCACCACTGTCAACCACACCAGTAACTAAGTTAATCTAGCTGGGAACATGAGATGGATATATGGGTGGACCCTGGCACTATGCCAAGCATTCCAGCCAAGGAAGCCTTCTCCTTCCCACCACTGATCCTTCTAAGGGTCTACAGCCAGCACATTTTATTTTCCTTGCTTACTCCCAGTGGAGGGAATTCTGTACCTGGCTATACCTTTCCAATTTACAATTTACAAAGTTTAAAAATTTTCCAATAATCAATTAATTCCCAAATACAAAGGTTAGTTAATAATCTAGGGTTAGTCACTAGTCTAGGATTTATGGCAAAAGGCACCATCTAACCATATTGGTAGCTTACTGTATAAAATAACATGGTCTAGGTGCTGGAATAGATCAATGAAATAGAACTAAGGATTGCAAAAAAAGATGTCATTTCAAATTATTCAGAGAAAACATGAATTATTTAATAAATGATAAAAAATACTAGTTAATTAAAAGAAAATTCAGTTGGATCTTTACCTTACTTCTTACCATCAACATATAGATCCATCAAATATTTAAGTATAAAAAACAAAGCCACAAATATACTGGATAAAACATAGATAAATATTTTTAAAATCTTGGAATGAGGAAGGGTATTTTTTACCCCAAGATTGTATTGATATAGCATGTAATTTTAAATTTCATATCACAACAAGTCACAAATAACATTTAAAGAGAAATAATGAACTGGGAAAAATTATTTGCAAACTATATAATAGACCAAACCAAGAGTTATTATCTTTCCTATACACAGAGCCCCTAAAAATCAATAAAAGGAAACAAAAGCCCAATAAAAATGCAAAAGGATACATATAGGCTGTTCACAAAAGAAGAAATACCTAACATATAAAAATATACTTGACTCTTAATAATAAGTACAGTTACACAAATAAAACAATAATTAAAGTGTGAGTGTATGTGTGTGCCTATCAAACATGAAGACCAAAGAGATTGAGAAAAGAGTGTTGGCAGTGTGTTGGGAAATGAATATTCTCATGCACTCACTGATAGTTAGGATGTAAATTAGCATGAGTTCTGCCAGGAAGTCTGGTAATACATACCAAATTTAATATATACGTACTTACTCTTAGCCCAAGAATTTCAAAAATTTATTTATTGTTATTGTGGTAAAATTGGTATACAATGCAATTTATCATTTTAACCATTTTCAAGTATATTGTTCAGTGACATTAAGTACATTCACATTCTTGTGCAACCATCACCACCATCCATCTCCAGAACTTTATTATCTTTCCCAATTGAAGCTCTGTACCCATTAAACACTAACTCCCCAGTCCCTCTCCCTTCAGCTCCTGATAACTATATTCTAGTTTCTGTCTCTAGGAATTTGACCACTCAAATAATATATTTTAAGGAGAGAATTGTACAAGAGAAACAATATATATGCACAGAAGATGTATTCATTCAAAAAATATCTCCTGAGGACCTACTATGTGCCAGGTAATAAACAAGATAGTCGAGGTTACTTGTCTCATGTACAAGTCATGATCTAAAGAAGGTAGACCATAAACAAACACGTAAGCAAATAAAGCATTAGGCTTTGATAAATACCATGAAGAAAATAGATTCCTGTGATAGTGATTTAGGGGGTACTTTAGATAGGAGTGTAAGAAAGATCTCTCAGGCACTATTTAAAATAGCAAGCAAATTAGAAAAATCTAAACATCTCAGCAACATCCTGCTAAGGTGCAGAGTCCACCTAGCCGAATGTTAGCACATGACAGTTCACTGTAGACTAAGAACCCTTCTCAGAACTAACTCCACTAATTCAATGTGCCTTCCATAGAGTGTATTCCTGGAGAGAAAGTGCTTCCAACATTTTGGGATAGAAAATAAGTTAGCAGGGGTACTTGCCAATGCTGCTTTATTCTGAGACAGAATGTGTAGATGACAGTTTAAGTGTTTGATGTCCAACCCTTCCTAAAACTGTGAAATAGCAGCAGGGTGATCAAAAGGCTGATCTAAATCTTCTGTCTGTGGTTTTACTTTTATTCTGGCAGGCAGAGCGACGCTGGAAAAAAATTACAGTGTGTGCATGGGAAATACATTTTTCCCTCTTTCTTGACTAACTGACATATTGGAGAGCAGGCATGAGTCAGGGGGTAATAGCATTGCTTGTGATTGAGCTGAAATACATGCAACAATTTAAATAGGATCAAGAGCCTTGCCTAACCTTCTTAGCCCAGGCAGGAAATTCAGGGATAATATAACACTTTGCTGTTAAGTAATGCCATTGGAATAAAAGCATGTTTGGGATGACTTTTGGCTTTTACTTGGAATTTCTGTTTCATTTGCTTCCAGAGAGAACTTTTTTTACCCCTTTAAAGTTCTTAACTTGTATTTGAAAAGTTTTTGTAGTTGTATAAATATGATGTATACAAACTGGCCTTGAATTAAAGCTGTATATCATAGATTACGCTAAAAAACAAATTCAGGACCTCGCTTTAACTCTGTGACTGTAGAGCAGCAGTTTTGTATAATGTAAAGAGCAAGTCACAGGTTAGAAGCCTCACTACAACTCACTATCTCTGTGGCCTTGGGTGGATTATTTGACTTCTAAACCTCCAAAAGAGGAATAACAATAGGACCCACTAAGAGGGGTTTTGGGAGGACAAACTGTGAGGACATGAAAAGCACAGTGCTAGCCCGCAACGCAACACAGCTTTTTCCTTCTTTCCTGGGCTTCATAACTGAGTCTGGCATTACTGACATCTCTAGATAACTCGGGATGGTGTGGAAGACTCAGAACCCATGGGAGAAACTGCTGCCGGATCTGCGGATGTTTAGCTGGGAGAAGACTCTAAGGGGCATGAGAGGTGTCTCCAAATATTTGGAGGGTAATATCACGAGGAAGAGAAGTTAGATTTATTCTGCGTGTCACCATATGTAGAGACAGATTCCAGGTATATATATAGAAAACTTTTATAAAAATATAAGATTGTCAAGGAAAGATGCTATCATCTGAGGTACGGAATTCTAGGAGGTTTCTATTAGAGAATCGCTATTCACTCTTTGGGAACTGTACAGGGAATTCTGTATCAGAAAAGGGCTGGAGGAGGTGCCCTATAAGGTTCTCTTCCAGGTCAGGGAGGCTGCAAGTCAGGGACCTACATCAATGCAATATTTTGTTGCAGGAACTTAAGAAGAACAGCCATGGCAAGGTGTAAGGCACTCACAGGAGCACGCAGGCTGTGCTTATGTGTGAACTTTAACCTTCTATAACAAAGGAATGTCATGCCACATGGAAAAAAAAGGTCTTAGAAATGAAATGGAAATATACATACCTTAGACTAGTGTATCATATTTTATAGGTTCATGTAGACCCAGGGGCCAAATGAAACTGAACCAAGATCTTAGGCATTAAGTTACACTTTAATTTTACCTTTTCCCTTCTGTGATTTTGACATAAGTGATTAAAAGTGAACCTGGACCTTCGACCTACCCATTTGAGTTTTTTTTTTTTTTCTTTTTCACCTGCAAACCTCTGTTGATTGTTCCTTACAGCCTTGGTCAACTGCTTTTAACAGCTAAACATTAAAGCCACTGAGAGCATAAACAGGAAGCTGGTGTTTAGGTGGGAGTTCCTAGGAATTTTATACTACTGACCACAGAGGCCAAGAGAGAAAGGAAATAGGAAAAACAGTGTAAATACCTGGGTGACTAATAATTTTGCCCAGCTCAGCTGGCTTCTCTGAACATTTAGTAGGAAGTTTCTTCCAGGGGAAACACCCTGAAAAATTTTCAGATCCCCGTGTGGCAGTGAAGGGCCGGATAGGAGTGTTTACTGAATGCGTTGTTTGGTTTTGTTCAGGGACTCAGGGCAGAAAGACTGCCTATTTCTCCAAGTGATAGGCTCCATTTGCATGCGTGGTGCAGACATTTTGCAGAGCACCAGGGTTCCCAGGCCTCCGATTTGTAAAGGATTGTCAGGCCACCCCTTTTCTCGTTCACGTGGAGAGTGCCTAAGAGGATTTAGAATCAAGTGGGCACATTTGCACCGCCTTGTTCTGAAGAGGCAGCTGGAGCGGGGCCGCCGACCTGGCGCAGCCGACCGCGGGTCCCGGGGGACGCATTGTCCTCCGAGGGGCCGCCACGGGGGCTCCATTGTGCGCGGGGCAGGCCTTTCTCTCCTGCCCTCTGTCTCCCCCGGGCCTTCGCCCCACCCCCCACGCAGACTTTTCTCTCTAGCTGCCCGGATCCCCCCCGCTACCGCATTTCCCATGCAGAGGCGCGGCCAGGGCTCGGCTGGCCATCTGCACGCGGAGATTGACAGCAGCCCCGGAAGGTCAGTGCCTCAACGATTTCTGTCTGAACAGCAGGCCACCCAGGCCTCCCGAGCAACACAGGGACATCTGCTCCCCTTAATTTAGAACGCTGGTTCCAATTTCACCGGAGCCCCTTGCTAGACGCTGTCCTCTGGCTCCGGGGGGATGGGATGGGTTGAGGCCGAGCAGACGCGCCGCCCGCCCCCAGCTCCCCAGTTCAGAGGCGAGCAGCTGAGTCTGGCAGCAACGGCGGGGGGGTGTGGGGCCCGGTCACTCACGTGACCCAGGTGACGTGATGCGAGGAGGGGCGGGTCGACGGAGTGGGCACGCAGGTCCCCTAGCGCCAGCGACGCACTGATGTATCCCGGCTTTGCAGACGAGAGGGCTGCGCTGGCGGGGAGTGGGGACTTGGAGCGAGCTGGATTCCGAACCCCGCTCTGCACGGAAGGTTAGGCAGCCCCGCGGCCGCTCTCCTGGAATTTTGGCTCTCCCAATATTGCTGGGAAGAACGAGATGGGCAGGAAAATTTATTGCAACCAGAATGCGAAATCCTAGCTCTGCCCTCCCTCGTGCTCTGCGCTGGCAGTTTTAAAGCTGGCTGTCAGTGGGCAAGGGCAAAATCCTGGCTCGACAGTTGACATCAGAACTCATCCTGCCTTTTTTGCTTCATATTTGGGCAAACGAATTGCATTTTTGTTGCGTTTCCACTACTACATCATTAGCTCCTTGAATACAGGCACTGCATCTTATTGTATCTCCACCACGGAACACAAATGTTTAGAGACAAAATTAATGTGTGTGTGTGTGTGTGTGTGTGTGTGTGTGTGTGTGTGTGTGTGTGGAAGGCTCCTTGTGAGCAATTAGTATAACTGCTCTCTTTTTTTAATAGGACAAAACAAGACATTGTGGATAATGAACTTGTACACAAGACTAGGCATTAGTTAATTACTCTGTTGCCTCTTTTCCTTCTTCCCTCCCTTCCTCCCTTCCTCCCTCAGCATCTTCCTTTCACAAATGTATTGAGTACCCCTGTGTGTGTCAGATATCAGGCAATGGAATTGGGATATAAAGAAGCAAGACTCTCAAGATGTGGCCTCTTTGTGAGAGGCGCTGTGTCTAGGTAAATAGTAACCAGGGCTCTGGGTGGTAAGTGCTTGATAGGAATGAATTCCCCCAACCCGCTTTACCTCCTCATTCTTCAGGCTTCAGGTGAAATGTCATAACCCTGGTGCCTTGACAAGATAAGATTGTCCCATTAAGTGACTTTGTAGCACCTGGCACTTGTCTTTTGTGATACGTATGACATGTACAGGTGGACAGAGTTCATCATCCCTGTTCAACTCTAAGCTTCTAGAGGAGGAAACTGGACTTTTTATTGCTGGATAGAGTCACCATAGCCAACACAGTGTCTGCCACACCGTGCCCCCTAAATATTTGGTGAACTGATCAATAATCAGACATTTCTTAAGTTCATAAGAAACCCATTCATACATTTTCTGTTCAGGATGTGGGGCCAAGCTGTGACTACTCCACTCTTCAAGTCCCACGTGGGAACAGAATGGCCCTGGTTGAGAATTTATTATTTTGTGGTGTTCTGCCACCCAGGGATTCCACACCTGTCTTTTGCAGAATCAGTGTGAGGTAGGGACTCCTCAAAAAGAGATACGTGCTATCATGAAATAAGTTTGAGGGAGACAGATTGAGCCCTGACAAACAGGTTCCTGGACTGCAGGACTTCAGAGCTTTCAATATGCTCATGTACAGTGTCCTAACCCAAATTGTTGGTTTCAAAGAGCATCTAGTAACGTTTTGCAGCTGGGGGATAGGAATGACGCTAAACGGTAACTTTGCCGCACCATTTCTCCCAACCCCTCTTAGGCCCTGGGAGGGGGAATTTGCTGCTGTGGGGAGAGCTAAACAAGATTAATTTGCCAGCATGAAGATTGGCTTTTCCACTTGGTTTCTTTGTTACACCATGCGACAAATTTGTTCCTTGTGTTTTTGACTGTAAGGCGAGAATTGGAGGATGTAGATTAAGGAGGAGTTGGTGGCACGGTGATACTGCTGGAGCTGGAATGCAGCTCTACCACGGTTTAGCTGTGTGAGTTTGGAGTCCTTAGCCTCTGTGGGTCTCAGGCACTTTATGTGTGAACAGAGAGAACAGTACCTAACTTAGGGTGGTGGTGCTAAGATCTTAAAAGCTCTTGTATGTATTTACAGTTCTCATGATGGGTGTACATTTTACTTAAATGCTATCAATTGATTAAGTAAAAATTGAATATCTACATTCTAAAAGATTGATTTAACTAAGACTCCTGTAAGTGAAGAGGGATCACAGAGGACCAGGGCCTGGGGGATGAGTTTTTCTCTGCTTGCTGCCTTCTGACCTCAAGTGAAACATTCCATGTCTATCATTGCCTTTCCAGCTAGAAGGATTCCAATTCTTTAACAGCATTTGCTGAGCAGTCCCTCAGTAAATTTAAGTTGCCATTTCATTACACTTTTTTCTCTAACAGAGCAGTGGAGCAGCTGTATATCAAGATTCAGATTTTTTTCCCAGGACTGATTTAGTAGCCAAGTGCAAAATTCCTCAGCAACAGGGTTATGATCCAGAAGACCATATGATTTTAAATAATAGAGACCTACTTACAATGAAAAAGTAAATAGGATCTGTCTTGCCTTGTTTATTACAGCTTAATTTGACGCTGGGGAAATAAAAAACCTATACTGAATTTTTTCAGGTGCTATATGTTAGACCACAGTGTGAAAATTCACATTGTTTATAATTGCACTTAAAATGTCCAGCCTAAAAGAAAGCTGCTGCTGGAAATTCAAAGGTATTCTGAAAATGACACATATTCATACGTATAATATCCACATATTCATATGTATAATATCAACAGTTTTACTCCTTTAACTCTTTATTTTCTGCAAGGGCATTTATTTGGACAGAGTTTGCTAGACTAGATGTTTGCAGTATATCTGTTTTTAGATACAACCACCTATGCATCCATGAAACTGTCCTACTTTGAAACAGGAAGAATAGAACATACTTTTTAAAATGTTGGCTCTTTTTATAAATAGAATCTTGATGCCCAGAACAGTGCTGGGCCCAAATATCCTGACATCACTTAACTCCTACAGGGGGTCACCACTTAGGGATCAGCAATTTGCTAAAGATCAAAAGATTCTCTCTAAGAAGGTGCTATAAAAGTAACATCCAGTTTTAGATCTAGAGTGTGCATCGGGTACCTGTTGGCTACCACCACTCACCCTTGATGTTCCCTGTCCCTTATTCCAGCCATTGACGGGGACTCTGAGCAGGTGCCTTTCTGTAGTTACAGCCTGAAAGGGCCTTGCCTCATGTCCATGCCTCACACCCCGCTGGAGCTTCCAGAGTCTTCTCTGGAGCTTCTCTGAGCCCGTAGGACCTGTGCAGTGACCAACCCTGAATTGCAGGGGAGTACATTTCGTGGGCAAACCTTCGACCGATGAAGCATAAGTACTAATGGATAAATGCTTTCCTTTCTTCCCCTGGATGGACAGTCCTGCGATGTCTTTCATGCAACTCCCCTGGCAGCCCAGAAGAAGTCAGCAACCATTCGCCAGGGGCTGTGACCAGCCTCATTACTCATCCTGGTGTTGGTTTTCCATCCTTCTCTGCTTCATTCTTACTCCTTACTCCTTACTCATCCCTTAAAAATAAAGCATTTGTACTCAATCCTTTGTCTCAAGATCTGCCATTAAGGAGACCCAGGCTAAGACCAAGTCATTCTGACATTATTTTTTACCAAATGGAGTTATATGTCTAAGCTATCTTTACACCCTAATTCCATTCCTCTTTTCACTGTGGGAGTCTTCATCCAGTTATATGTTTGTGAAATGGTTAAGGGGGCTACTTCAGTCCTTGCTTTGGATGTGGTAGGTCTTAGTGGGACTGGTAGTCATGGCTGCCTTTGCTTCAGCCACAGCAGGACCCAGAATGAAGTCTGCAGTCCTCATCTGGCAACTGGTCAGCAACTTTGGCCCTGTGCTTGTGTCTACTAGCTTCAACCTGGCTCTGTTCAATTTTTCCAATCTGTATTTTTAACTTCCTCCTCAGATTTTTATTTGTTCATTTTATCTTGCTCCGTTTATGGATTTGTGGGCTATAAATAAGCAAAGATCAGTGTGAGTAGGCCTTTAAAAATAATCATATGGCCTAATGTCCCAAAGTCACATATAATACTCTTACCATGTGGTGAAGCTTTTTAAAATGATAACAATATCATGGTTTTTAAAAATAGCAGTAGAAAATCTTTGTCTTCATTTGGAGACTATTAAATTTGTTTAATCACTAATAAGCCACTGGATTCCTACCTGCTTCCTTCTGGGACCTGCCACATTGGTATAGTTTTTATGGGTGCAGTGGTGAGGGGCATGCCAGGACATCCCATCCAAAGTAAGAGACAAATTTTTGCATCTTACTCCTCCCACCACAAAGACAGAAACTCAAAGCCTGATGAGTGCATTTGAGTTCTGGAAGCAGCATATTCCACACCTGGGAATACTGCTTCACCATTCAAAGGTTAATAGATTTAAGAGAGGACGCTGCACCATGTCTAGGCTGTGGTGCAAACAGCCCTTTCCACTCGGGCCGTTTGAGCCAACAAGGTTCTGGTATTCGAGTTATCAGTAGTGTAAAAAGATGCCATGTGGAGTTTGTGACAAGTCCAAGTGGGAAAATCACAATGTAGAAACCCAGGATTCCAGAGCAAAACTCTGCCATCTGCAGCAGAGAATTCTACAACTTTTTCACAATAGCTATAGCGCATTGCGGGACCTAGTAGAGACAGAGAAAGCACCTAATCATGGACACCAACTGACTGCGTGGCCAAAGTAGCCCCTCATGACAGGGTGCTGTCAGAATCACCATGTCATATCATGGGATAGGCTCAGGAACCACCCATTGTAAGATTGGACTGGTGCCTCTGGAAGTAAGTGCAAGCAGGACCAGAGGACACTCAAGCTGCACATGAGC